TGAGCCCGAAGAAGCTCATTATTCCAGATATAGTGAGGCTGTTTCCAGCTCCTGCCCCAGTGAACAAGACACAGATGAGTCCAAAGAGATAACTGGAGATAACGACCAGATTGTGAATCAAAGCCAAAATGGTGTGTTAAATGCAGGGGACAGTTTTGACATTAAAAGAAATTTCATGGATTTGCACAAAGGCTGCTATGGAAAAAAAAACCCCAAAAAACTGTATATCAATCATTGCTTTTATTCCAGGGAAGGACCAATGGATCCACCAGTGAGTTCAGTGTGCCACAGTGGCCAGCTGAGCCTTGCTCTTTGGGTGGTGATAAGAGGGCTGTTTGTGAGTCTTGTCCTGGTCACTAGGGAATGGACATCTGGAGGCTGATATTTTTATAAGTCTCACCAGGGGTCTCTGGTGAGTGCTATTGGGACTGGACTGCATGGTATACCTTGCTGTTCAGCTGGAGCTAAACACATGGCTTTGTGTTACCCTGGATCTGGTGTAGTGTGAAGCTGTGGGCAAAGGGGTCTCTGCTGGGCTCTCAGTGCTACCTGCATAGTGGGTCTAGTGATCTTCTGGTAACAGGATAATTTTTTTCAACTCAACTGATTCTGTAGAAAACAAATGACTACCTCATATAACAGTAAGTTAGTTTTTCATCATATTAGGTTAACTGACTTTTCTTACAGGTCATGATTGCTCATTCTGACCTTAGGGAGGGTGGGAACAGGTAAATGCAAGCAGGTTTACATCCCATCAGGTTACAGCCCGACTTTGGTCCAGATTAGATGTGTTGGAAAACTGTAACACAGAGTGAGAACGACTGCCGTTGTTGTCCCTTGGTAATTTCTGAAGAACAGATTTTCAGTGGAGCCAGATTTCTGACTGATCTCAGTAACAGTTCTCTCATCTTAAAAATAAGACCGCAAAGAATTAGTGGAAAATCTATATCTGTGGTGCTTGAGTTCATATTCTTAGTTGTTGTGCTGTTTATTCGGAGCCATTTACTCCTCGTCATCGAGGGAGCATCCTCTGTTTGATTGTTTTTACACATATGGGACTGCTATTTTCAATCCAACTGTCCCTGCAACTGTGGTGCATCAGCCCCGATATGAGACAGGTGTAGGGCAGAAATGAGTTTTGTAGTTGCTGGAATTATTTATTTTATCCCATACAGATTTGAGATCCTGAGATGTAAAAGGTGTTACTAGTTCCAAAAGATACATGAATCTTGCAGTTGGCAGCGCAATATATTGCCAGATTGTGTGTTCCTTTGTGCTTTTGTTTCTTGTGTTGGACTGAGATAATAGGTAATTAGATTAGCTGGGAGGAATGTCTAAAGTGAATTTGGCTTGGTTCCTTTGCAACATTTCCAGTTCCACATTTTACAAAAGTGCACATGCAGGAAATTACAGTTATATGCAAAAAAGGAAAAGAAAAGTAATTAGAAGAAATAAAAGAGAACCCACTAGTGATACTGAGCTTGCAAGGGTAACAAGTTTTTGAAGACAATGGGAAGGAAGCATGATGTTGCCAGGGTGTTTGGGCAGAAATTGTGCATGCGATGCTTCATTTTAGAAGGAGATCAGCCAGCAAGGCTGACATCTGGTTTACCTTTGAAAGGGTATTTTTCTAGCAAAACAGTGGTTTTAAAAAGAGGTCAGGCAGGATTAGTCTTGCAACCCTTCTAAATATGAGTGAATACTGATGTTCATAACTGCAGAAGATAAGCCAATGTGGCAGTACCCACAACCTGTTTATGGAGACTCTTTACCCTTGCTATTGGCTTGGTTTCTGCTCAGTCCATCTGCAAAGACCTCCCTTTTTGCAAGACTATGGTTAGATGCTATGCTGTTCCCATTCATTGAGTGATAGCAGCCTCCACACATTCTTAATAAATCAAATAATTTAGAAACTGCAGTTTGACTTGTGATGCCCAGTGAACACAGTCCTGCTCCTCACAGAAATCCATAAAACCCCTAACTGGATCACGTCAGTTGAAAATAGTAACATTTGCTTTTCTGTCTTTTACAGGTTCTCCAGCTGGGATCTGATATTCTTCCTCAGTACAAGCAAGAAGCTCCAAAGACTCCACCACACATTATACTACATTATTGTGCTTTTAAGACCACTTGGGACTGGGTCATCTTAATTCTAACCTTCTACACAGCAATTATGGTTCCATATAACGTCTCCTTCAAGACAAAGCAGAACAACATTGCCTGGCTCGTGCTGGACAGTGTCGTGGACGTTATTTTTCTGGTTGACATTGTTTTGAACTTTCATACAACCTTTGTTGGCCCTGGTGGAGAGGTTATATCTGATCCCAAACTCATAAGGATGAACTACCTGAAAACGTGGTTTGTGATTGATCTTCTGTCCTGTTTACCGTATGACATCATCAATGCCTTTGAGAATGTGGATGAGGTAAGTGATGGTAGTCCTCCTCAAAAGGATTGTTTTAGTTGGGAATTAATTTAGGAGCACTCTCCCAGGCATCTGGCAGCAACAAGAGGCAACTGAAGCTCTGTGCAAATATGCAGGGTTGGCTTTAAGCTGCTGGGCTTTACATACGCAGCATTCCCGTGTTGGAGAAGAGGTGTCTGATGATTTCAATAACTTGTGTGGATGTGTACATTAATAGACGTGGGTTTTAGACTCACTTGCTCTTCATCCAAAAGTATTGTAGCACGTCCACATCCCAAAGAGCCGAACCAGTTGCGGTGTCCCCCTGCCACAGCCTCTCTTTTCAGCTCTGTCCCAGTCGTTGCCTTTAAGCAGTCCTAATCCATTGCAGGGCAGGCTGATTATTTACGTAAAGCTTTATCAGAACTCTGTCTGCTCTGGCTGAAGCTGGTGGCAAATTTGCCACTGACATATGAAAGTAAAGAATGCCTCTGAATTAACATTTTTAAAATCCTGCCCTAGGATTATTTTTTGAACCACGTTGTAATTTTCTTTTATTTGTGATGTCTTTTCAAATGTCTGATGGAGAGGGAGGTTTATCTCTATTTTTTTAAACAGTTTTTGAGCTACTGCTGGAATTTTAGAAGCTGTTTGAGGAGAGAAAACATAAATATCTTAAATGGACACTGAATTAAAGCTCTTTAACTGCTAAATGTATTAACATGTAAGAAATGGTGCTTGCAGTCTAAGATAGTAGAGAAAACGAGCAATAACTACGACAAATAATGCATGCACAAGTCAGTGTAGAGAAAATTCATTATTAAAATGCAACTATAATGGCATTAGGACTTGCTTTAATTATTCTCTAGAGCCTTTTATCTTTACGGACATAAACAGATGAAAAAGCCTGTGTTCATTTTTTGACATTTTAGCAGTTTTTTCTTAGAACACCGAGTGTGGGGTTTTTCCCCCCCCAGTTCTCAAATTCTGCAGTTATATATCCTTACTGTATGTAAAATCTACATTCTTATTTTTTAATGCAGACTTTAATTCAGGTTTTGTAGAGCTCCTTTAAAATTCCATCCTGGTCTTTGCTGAGTACCATCTTTTGACATTGTTCCATTTTATTTATAGCAAATATGACAGAAGTGATAACACTTGCAGCTTAAATTCAAGATCATATGAGGGCTGCCTGTCTGGAAGCAGGTTGTACAGTCAGGCTGTGTAAGGAGGTGGTATTATCAAGGTTTTAAATATAATACAGATTTTAAAATAACAATTTAAGACTAGGAGAAACCTGATTTTTATAAAAATGCAGCATTTTCTCCAGAAAATTTCCTGCTTTAATATGTAAAACAAACAGAAAATTTCTGTGCCCGAGCAGTACAAATTTAAATGATGAGCCTAACCTCTTTCTCTAATATATAGATGGGAAATAAACCATCTGTAATATTTGTCACAGTAAAGGGAGTCATTGCCATAGCGCATTATAATTGAGGCTCACTTAAAATGACAAACTTTAATAAAAATGTAATACCAATAACAAGGTATCATGAGCTCCAGTGATCCTCTAACTGCTCTCATACCTTCAAACAAATGGAAATATCAACTTCTTATTAATAAAAGAATCAAAAGTAGCATTTATTTATCATTAAATGGTGTGTTATGGCACTGGAGCCTGTAGCAGATATTGAGGTATAACCTATGCTTAATTTCAAACCCCTACAACTCCTGTTTTCCATAGTGCTTGAAACGTATTGAAGTGATTTTGAAAACAGGTATGTAAACAGTCAACAGTCAGTCTTTCCTCCTTTTTTTGGTAATGGCTTCATTTGTGACATTTAAGTCCTTTGAGCTGCTCAGTGTATTCTGGGTGGTTGTAGATATTAATGCTCTTTGTCTTTATTTGGCTTTTAACATTTATTTTCACTGGTACTTGTTTTCTGGAATTTAACTTTTTGTTTCACTAACAGCACTGTGCTCAAATACTGTTTATAAGTAAAGAGTAAATAAATCAATAAGCTTGATTTGGAATAAATATTCTGATTGATTAAAAGGAGATTATCTCTCAGTAGAAGGTGAGTGTTTCCTCCTTAAGGCAAATAGGAGAGAGAAGAGTTCTTTTAACTCTTGATTCTGGTAGATTTTAGCTCTTTATCTTCGCCCGGGGTGCTGGATAAGGGCAGCTGTCTTTAGCATTAAAGCTGATGATTGTGTCATTTCAGAGAAAGTTAACAGAAAATCAGAGCTAAGTGGTAAAGACCTTGGGGACAGGTCCTAGTGGTCTTTGAGTTCTTGGTATGGTGGTGAAGGATGGACCCAAATCAGAGTGAATTGTCCTAAAACCCAGCTGGGTGAAAGTTGTCTTTCCAAGTTTGTTCCCCTTGTGTGTTCCACCTCCAAACCCTTCTTTTTCCACATGAAGCATCAAATGCACTTTTGTTAGTTGTTAAGGACTAAATGAATACTACCATTGCAGGTAGTTTATTTTCCTCTTTAAGGGCAAGTCTTTCACGCATAAAGAAGGATATGGCCAAGGAAGTTAGGTTTATGTGTCTCCCTTGTAGATGTAAACTATTATATGTGATATAGGCGCTTGAAGGTTTTCATGCCAAGGCTGCTGAGTCATTGTATAAGATGCCTTATGCACTTGAGTGTTATTTTATTATGTCAGAATTAAGGAGATAAATCAAAAGACTAAAAGGAGGAGTGTGAAAAAAGGAAATGTGAGTTTTCTTACTGAGGATTGGAGTTCTTCAAATGCAGTCAGTCTTGGCGGGAGTAGGAGCAGTGTCATTTCCACCATGGACAGGATTAGGCCAAGACTAGAGTTTTACAAAATTCCTATCTGAGGCAAACATGACTTCTTGAGTGGATACAGAGCCTCAATAGAAGGAGATGATGAAAAAGATTATGACACACAAATTGAGAATTGGGGGGGATTATGATGATTTGAGGCAGACTTAGAGGTGTAGGTTTCCATGCCTGGAGTTATAGAGACAAGTTCTTACAGACTGTTCAGGGGGATTTGGATGTATGACAAGGAAAGAGAAAGGTAATGAGAGAGAGAGATACCTTGCACAACATAGAGTGATCTAAATTGATGTGATGGATGAGGAATTAAGTGGCTAAGTGGTATTGAAAGGGTAGGAAAACAAGGTAAAATAGGCTGGAGAAAAATGAACTAAGAGAGAGGAGAGTGGAATCCTTAGTGGGATACGTATTTTATTTCAGAAAATTGGTAGGATGATAGTCCTAGAAATCAGAAAAATGCATGGCATCATTTCTAATTGGGAAACATTATTTGCACTGAACTACATTCTGGCTAAACCAAAGCCAGATAGAAAACCTTTCATATATAGAAGTGTGAGAAGAGACACTATAAAACATACCGAGGAATCCATCCAATTTTCAAGGTATGAACCAGAATGGAGACTGTGTGCTCAGAGTCTGAAATGAGATAGCTTTTTTTTTTTTTTTTTTTTTTATTCTTTGAAGAGTTCTTTGAAACTTCAGATTTATTCCAAAAGCACATGTCTGTCTGTCTGTCTGTCTGTCCCTTCTTTTAAATAAGAAAAAATAAAGAAAAATGTTTGGGGTAGTGAGGGATATAGTGTTAGAATCCCAAGATTTCGGTCACATGAAGTTCCTATTTTTAATTAGGCTATGATGTATGTAGCAACTGGAAATTTGATTTTTGTCTTGGAGTCACATGTTACTTGAAGTGATTCTAATTTTTTTGCTGAGTACTTAGCTGTTTGTAACAATTGTTTCCATTGGTGCATGCATGATCACTTCTGTTTCTGAAATCATGACTCTCTACTTTTGAAGCTAGAGAATTATGTTACCTTGAGGCTTAGACTTTATATGTGTTCTGCCTACTAGAGAGAGATAAATATCCAACCTCTGTCAGTCTGGGCTACCAAAAGGTTGTTCATAGCGTGAGTAACCCTCAATTCCATACAAGTTACAATTATCGGAGTCACACTGTGCTGAAATTATCAGCGGATGGGTTTACAGTGTGCCAGAGGATCCCATTGCTTATTCAGATATGGTCAAACCATGCTACAACTTCCTTTAAGACCAAATGCATGGATTTACATCCCAGGGAAACCAGGATGTTGTGCAGGTGCTTACCTCTTGTCCCCACATGGAGCCGTGCAATCAGGAGAGTACCTGGAGCTGGAAGGACCTCAGGTACCCACACTCACGTACAGGCACACTGATACAGTGCTGCTGAGGGCTGCATTTGAGCCTGTGTAAATTAGTATATAGAGTAAATATTCCCAAGACTGGGAGGATGGACAAGCTTTTGACCAAATTGAAAATGCTTCCACAAATTAAATGTAAAATGCAGCTGAAAAAAACCCCTTTGCTCTCCCTGGCCCCTGGAATTTTCACTGAGATTCTTGAATTTCTGAGTTTGTAATGAAACAAAACCTAGAAGCTTGATCTCATCTCTGCAAGAAACATGGCCCTAAAATGACATGGCACATATTGTGAAGAATGGGACCAGATGTCTGAATGGTGTGTACAGACAGCCAAATAGATGGTTTTCAAATGAGTTGCATAAAAGATCATTCTTTCTGTAAAAATTAGTTTTCATGAGCCAGTGACTGGAAGTGAAAGCAGACAAATTTAAATGACCTAAAATTCTGAAGTTCTGTGTCTGTTGTTTAATAATTTAAGACTACATGACCCAATGGCCTTTAAAATTTAGTGATTGGTACAAGACGTATTATGGCATGGAAACCTTGTAATTGTGATCTTCTTTAAATTGCTGTTATCGATCTATTTCAGCAGTGGCAGAAACTTCTTTGCATCACTGCAATTAATAGCAACTAAAATAGCAATGTCTGTAAATTGAAAGCAAACAAAAGCTGATATAACTAGTTTAGCCATATTCACATCTGCAGTGCTTAACTGCAAAGATTCCCTTTTTGGGAGATATTTGAAGAAGGGTTCATGGACCCCAGTCTGAGCGGCACATGCAAGGTGAAGATAAATCGGTGTGTTTCCAG